ATATTCCTGGTTCTCTTCAAAAGGATATAATGAAAGAATTTCATGATCTGCCACTGGCAGGACATCTCGGAAAGAGGAAGACATATCTTAAACTTCGTGACACGTGCTATTTTCCATTTATGAGAAAATATATATTTGAATATGTTTCAACCTGTGACCGGTGTCAAAAGTTTAATTATAAAAACGCGCTACCAGCTGGTCGTTTAATGCCTATAGTTTCGAAATATCCAAATGAAATTGTAACGCTAGACTTATTAGGCCCCTACCCCGCATCCCGACCCGAGAGATATAAATTCATATTAGTTATAACTGACCACTTCACTAAGTGGTGTGAGCTGATTCCTCTTCGTAAAGCTTCAGCCCAGACAATAGCTAATGCCTTTTTGATACCTATATAGCGCGTTACGGAGCTCCGATTTCTTTGATAAGTGATAACGGCCCCCAATTTATTTCTGACGTGTTTGAACATCTCAGTCACAGGTTGGACATCAAACATATGAAAACGGTAACATACCGACCACAGTCTAATCTCACGGAGAGAGTGAATAGAAATTTAGTTCAAATGATAGCTTCTTTTGTTGAAGAAAATCATGAAAACTGGGACCAATTTCTACACGAGTTCGCTTTCGCATTGCGCACGGCGGTAAATGAGACGACAAATAAAACTCCGGCTGAGTTGTTTTGGGAAGGAAAATCATAACCCGTTTAGCAAGCTCATAAATGTTACGGAGGATGCGAAATATGTTGGTAGTAACATCGAAAGATTATTCGATGAGGCAAGACGAAATATGCAAAAAAAAAGCATAAGTCTTGGGAAAAACATTACAATCTCAGAAGGAGGGATGTTCACATCAAAGTGAACGATTTGGTTTTACTTCAAACACATTTCTTAAGTGCTGCGGGTAGGAAACAGGTGGGAAAATTTATGCCTAAGTTTGAAGGTCCCTATAAGGTTTTGGAAATAAAAGGAAATAATTTAGTTATTTGGAAAAACGGAAGAAATATAACTGTTAATATTGATCAGGTTCGAGTGTACCGACCTCGTCAGTCAGACACGATTAGTTCGGATAGTCCGGTAGAAACTCTGTATGACGAACAAGAAGTTAGTCATGGGTCGAATAGATCACATCAAGGACAGTTTAAAGAGCATAGGAAAACCTCTAGTCAGGAAAGTGAGGGGTGTAGATCACGGCAGGGTAACACCACATGGGAGATCCCCAGAAATAAACGTAAAATTAATAGTACTGCGTCGAAGGACCAAGCTTTAAAACGGTCCAAGATATGTAAGAAGAGATCACGACAAGGATCTGATCATCAGGACCGGAAAAGACGCGCTCCTGAGCAAGGGCAAGGAGTCAAGAGGTCGATCCCTTCCTCGTTCTCGTCCAAGAATTATAAGTTTCAAAAACATAATACCTCTTCACCAGGAGTAGAGTCCATTGCAGGTCCATCAAAGTTGCCTGATCGCAGGACTGCTACGACTACAGGTGGATCCCGAATGGAAGTTAGTGGACGTGATAACCAGACCCGTCAGACCAGAGCGACAACGAGAAGACGCAACGAACAAGCGGAGAAACCAGTCCGGTCGAATCAAACCAATACAAGGAGACCTTGCCCATACTATCTACGGAGCCGTATACAAGAAAAAGACGGAATTCCTGAGGAGCTCAGCAACATCGAAATCAATGGCATACCTGGCAGCACATTCCGCAGAAGAAGCCTCAGTATGGAAGCGTTGAATGGAGATCCAGTGCATAGGATTTAACAGACAAAATCCAGGTTGTATTGTTTCTTTATCTTCACAATGCGAACAAATGAAGAATTTTTGCAATTAAAGCAAGTCACGGGCGGACTCTAAAATTAAGAAGACTGACAAAAGTGGACACTGCATTGTGTGTGTTTTTTTTTCTATACCAGAAAAAACGACTTTTGTGTTACTTTTTGTATTTTGGAGAAAACATCTGTAAATTTTGCATTTGTTTACTTCGATGTATGACTTCGCTAAGATGCGACAATTCATTTGGTTGTTTGTGTTATTTGTTTATTACAAAATGATTATTATTATATGCTATGTGTGTTTCTATGTATGTTTTGTTTCACATCTGGTGCCTTGGAGCGCGGCGAAGTTAGATAGGATTAACCATTAACACTAACTAGCGCATCAAGTTTTCGAATGGGAAGGCAAAGGAACCAGATATTTATTGTATATGACATTCATGTAACAAATGTATAACTTCATGTCTGCTTTTACCTACTTCTCAAATGGATATCAATCTTTCAGGGTAGCTGACCCTGAAGTCTTCGATGTTCCAGTGCCACAGAAGATTGTATTTCTTTTTTTTTTGTATAATGACTAAGTCATACTCTATGGGGCTGGTTTTTTGCCACCACTAGGGTGGTTTTTCCCACGCCCCCTTAGCCAAATGGATAGAGTGCAGGGATTAATTTAAACTTGTAAAATATTATGAGGTTTGGCAATTAATTCTAAATCTTAATTTTGTCATTTTTCATTACGGAAGATGTTTCAGTAATATACAGTTAGAAATTATTATCGTCGGTACTGTAAGACAAAAATAGGATTTACGTAATTTATTTTCAGGACGTATGAGTCCTTCGAATAAATCCCGTTTTCTTTTTGGAGGGGTTGTGACGAATCTATACGGAACTTTATCACTAACCTTCTGAACCGACCTTTTAGGGAAATTTAATTCCCTACCTATTTCCAATCAACTCCAAAAAAGCGGACAGGATTCCTTGTTATGCAGATTAGATTCAGTATTTAAGTCAAACGAAATAGTAAAAGTTAGAGCAGTAGGAGATAGACATTGAAACATAGAGTTATAGTGAATTTGAATTGAAATCTTATTGTTGAAGATAATTTAATCTCATGAAGAATTGAGATTCCGAGTGGTAAATATTATTTTGAGTTTAAAGTTTCATTCAAGTTTTGAGAGTCAGATTAAAGTTAAATGTTCAATAAGAACATTATTAAATATAATTCTGGGATCTCTTATCGTGGTAATTTCTGCGTGATCGTTATTTAATAAATTAATTAATTAGATCATTAATTAATCGAGTTAAATTAAAGGATATTATCTTTAAAACCTCATAATATTAGTAGAAACAATTGTTAATAAGTTTTTGATTCTATTTGGGAAAGATAACCAAATAAAGAAAGTTATTTATAAAAATGGTTACTGGTTCTTTTGTGACTCAAAATTATTCTCGTTCTCAAGGTGAGGTCCCGAGAGACCTTCACAATGTCCATAAATTAAGGATAATTCAGAATCACACAGAAATTGAACTCTAAAATAAAAATGTCACCTGTAGAATTATCACACACATCTTGAAGAAGAATATACAAATTACAGGAAACCACCAGATGGCGCAGATAGTACGTCACAATGAAGAGAGTGTAAGAGAGGGGTATATAAGGAATGGTGGCAAAGAAGTAAAATTGTTCACAAGCGCTTTAAAAGCCTTTCAGTGCAATAACCGCATAGTTACGGCACAAAGGAAGCCTTTGGATTATTTTTTACGTGGTAGAATTATTGGACGACTGAAATGTGGACGTACCCAGCTGGAAGTATCCGAGGAACTTGGAATCGCCCAGAGTGACATCTCCAGGCTTTGGCAACGATTCCAAGATGATGGTAATATGAGTAGATGTTACGGCACGGGTCACCCCCGAGTTACAATGCCGAATGAGGACCGGTATTTGACAGTAACTGCCAAAAGAAATAGACAGAGCACAGCATCAGACCTGTCTCGTCAGCTCTCTTCAGCTACCGGTACGACAGTTTCAAGGCAGACCGTGTACAGACGCTTAGGGCACATTAGTCTATATGCTCGTAGGCCTGTCAGATGTGTTCCACTTACCGCAACTCACTGTCGCCTGCGGTTAACCTGGAGTAGAGAGCATGCATTGTGGACACCACAACAGTGGTCTTGTGTGATGTTTTCCGACGAGTCCGGGTTTAGTTTGCAGTCTGATTCTCGCCGGACTTTAATATTGAGAGCGCCAGGTACCCGTTAACACCAAGAGTTAACACCGTTAACGCCATTGAATGACACCGTTACGGTGGTGCAGGATGGCTCGTTTGGGGAGAAATTATTCTTGGTTCCAGAACTGACCTGCATGTTCAGAGTGTAACGATTACAGGCCACATCTATCGGGATGTCATTCTGGAACAACATGTACGTTTGTTTCGGGGCGCCATGGGTGCTGAGTTTCTGTTTATGGATTACAACGCCCGTCCTCACCGTGCAAACATTGTAGACAAATGCCTTCAATCGGAGGATATCACTCGTATGGATTGGCCAGCATACTCACCGGACATGAATCCAATACAGCATGTGTGGGATATGCTTGGCCAACGAATTGCAGCCCGTCAACCCCCTCCCACCTGTCTACCGGAACTTCGGAGGGCATTGCTTGATGAGTGGTGTAATATTCCCCAAGATCAGATTGATAATTTGATACTAAGCATGCCTAGGCGTTGTAAGGCCTGTATTGCATCCTCCGGGAGACATACTCCGTATTAACCATCATACTAACCATGTTATACTGTTTTTTGTAAATAGGTTCTTTTTTTAAATTTGCTCCAGGGAGAAAAATCGCAATTTTTATTAATTATGTCAAACATATAGCATCTTTTTTGCTCTTTACCTTTTGTTTAATAAATAGACTTTACAAATAAGTCAAATTTGTTTTGCTTCTGTCTCTTTCTTTGCCTGAACTTCATTACCCTTAATTTATGGACATGAGTGTATATCTATATGTATATCTATATCTATATAGTGTTCAAACTTTCAATCGTTGATAAAAAAACTTTCTATTCAAGTTAAAATACATTTTTTTAAAACTTGTAGTAGATGACACTTGATGTTAATAATGTTTTTTTTCAAATATTAATTCATTAATTAACTTTAAAAAATGAATAAATAGTAACAAAAATAACAGTCCAACTGCATTTATAGAAAGGAAAATCACTCGTTGTGTCTCGGTAGCTTAATGGATAACGCGCGCGCGCGTTGGACTTCTAATCCAAAGGTCGTGGGCTCGAATCCCACCTGGGATGGCCTAATTACTGAGAATAGGTTTACTTTTTTATTATACTATTTATTAGAATAATTAAATTTAATAAATAAATATTAACAAAAAAAATAGCCCAACATCATATATAGAAAGGAAAATGGAAAATTGCAAGGAAAATCGCTTTCTATTTTGCTACAATATTGTGATTTTGTCGTATGTTTATACATATTTATATTAATTGTAACTATTTAATAAAAAAGTATCTTAAATAAAATACTTCTTTGTTGACCTAAGTAGGAATTGACTTAAAATTTTTTAAAAAAATATTATTTGTATGATTTTATGTATGAGTTGAAGTTGAATTATTTGTTGAACTTAAGTTTGTCGTTTCTATTGAAATGTGTGTGAGTCAATAGTTTAAAAATACTCTCTTTAATGTAATTAGTATTCAAGAACTAGACTAATAAATTATCAATTATTAAACCTTAACATTTCATTTGTATAACAATTTTTACAGATTGTTATTAATTTTAACAATTGAGTTTCTCCTGAAAGCGGAATTACCACGTGCTCCACTAACGTGATTCTGAGGGTACTTGAGGTCAACAAAAAAAATTTTTTCAATCGAAATTTCTAGCTGGAAACCAGGGGCGTAGCTACTGCCGTATCAGTGATACAGGGACCCCAAGCTACAAGGGCCACAACATGTGTAAATACAGTCCAACTAACAGGGCTCCCATATCTAAAAAAGGGCCCTGAAGGAATTTTGATTCAGGGCCCTCTCAGAGCTACCTACGCCAGTGCTGGAAACTATTGTATTTATTATTAATCTGATTTATGACATTGTTAGTACTGTAAGTTCTTTCCTAGTCAGACCTGTTGAAACTAAAGCTAGTTCGTCGGTAAAAGCTTCTGTTACGCATCTGCCATTATTTACATTTAGAATCGAATTAAAGTAGATGCTCCACAGATTCGGCTGTGAACATCCTTTGGAAATTTGATTGCCAATATAAATATTTTGACTATTAAAAACTATTCAGTGATAAGTAGTATAGGCAGTGGCGTAACGGAGAACATTTGGACCCCCCTGCAAAGTCAGGTTTTGGGGGGGGCCTCCAAGTAAGACTTTACAAAGGATAGGTACTTGGCGGTAGTCAGGCTTCGGGCCCCCTAGAACCCAGGGCTCCCCACGATGCGGGGGTGTACGTTACGCCATTGAGTATAGGGATATGTATAAAATTTTGAAAATGATATCGAATATTAAATTGATAAATTGATACAATACTGATTAATTTAAATTATTAAAGGCATTTTGAATGTCTATTATTGTTAATGGTGTTTTGTATTCATTCTAAAATTTTTTAATATTAGTGGTTAAATGGGGGATAGCATATATATATATATATATATATATATTATACTAGTCAATGGCGCACACAAGGGGGGAAGGTCCGGAACCCCCCATAGCCCTTGATCTTTTTCAGTTGACTATAATTTTATGTATATAGTACGTAAAATTTAATTATTTGTTTTCAATAACTATTTTTATTAATTGGTGCTAATTATTTATTAAATGATGATTTTTCCTGATTTTTGTTCTTGACAATCGATAAAATCAAAAGAATACGGTTGGCGGCGTATTCAGGTATGGTACGAGAATAGTGGAATTTTGATCCTGCCCCCGTTAAAAATTCTTTTGTGTGTCACTGATACTAGTGCTTTCTTTAAAATCATACACAAATTGGAGTAAATAATATATTATGTGTAAGCCACATTTGAAATCTATTAAGAAAACATAGATGACTGACATGGACGGTCAATGAGGAAGAGGAACTCTCTGGTCTCAAAACCTGTTGGTTATCCGGTGTTGAATATGAAACAACGGTGCGCGATGCAACTATTGCATTTAGGAAAGTCATATTTTTTGCTAAGAAATTTTGGTTTGTTCTTTTTCTTCTTGGTCATACATTGTTTTTTTTCCTGTGGGATTCGGCCAATAAAGCTTGCCACCTCCTTCGTTCCATACTCCATGCGCACTGTTCCGTTTTTTTTTTTGGTACAGTGCTTTCTTTGTCCTTTAAGTACTACACTCTGCCACCGTAGCATAAATTTAATGACTCACGGTTGATTTTTTTTATTGATTTTTTTTTTTTTTTTTTTTTTGCCGAATTACGACAAAATCAGAACAGCTGTTTATAATTTCCCACTTATGTGTCTCGTCCAACTATTCTTTTAGGATTACACTGAAATATTTAAGACGAAAATAAGAAAAATGCTATATAATTTAATGAGCTTAAAGTATTTGAGAAAATGCATAGTTTTTGAAAATATTAGTTAAAAAAGGCTGAGTTTTCAAAATTTATGAATATTTTTGATAATATATACATTTCAGTGGCGCACAAAAGAATGTTTCAAGTGTGTGGGGGGGGGGAGTCCAGGGTCAAAAGTCCACTATAATCGTATCATACCTTAATACGCCACCAAACTTTTACTTTTGATTTTATCGAGTGTCGGAAACAAAACATAGTAAAAAATAAATTATTGAATAAATAATTAGCATTAATTCTCAAAATTAATTATTAATAACAAACAGTTAAATTTTACGTACTACATACATAAGATTATAATCAATAAAAAAATCAACTATTACGAAAGGTGTGGTCCGGAGCCTTTGAACCCCTTCTTGTATGCACTACTGATACATATTGTTTAATGCGTGAAAAATAAATGCTGATATGTTAATCATAGTATTCATTGACATATTATTATGAATTACATATATTATCTCAAATGAGCATTTACCAGTAAGAAAACAATTTGGGAAAAAAATTCTTTAATAAGTTGAGCTATTTTTTTCTCTAATACCAGTAAATTGGTTTGTTTAAGCAATAACAGGGGAAAAAAAATTCATATATTCAATTCTTAAAAATTATTTTTATAATAATTTGTTTTAATGAATAATGACTTATTTTTTTACCATCTTTATACATCGTTTTAATTATTTAATAATTTAAATATTTTTAAAGTTTTATGAAAATCAAATTCTCCGTTATAAAGAAAAATAGTTAAATTATAGTTAGGAATTTAAGTTTCATATGTGAGCAAAAAATAAATTCAAGAATTTCAAAATCCCACACACAAATTTGATCTTCAGCCAGTAGCGTAAGAGAGTATATTATGGCCCCTCTGCAAAGACAGGTTTTGGGCCCCAAGCAAGATCTTATAAAGGGTACGTTCTTGACGACAATCAGGCTTTGGACCCCTTAGAATCCTCGGATCCCTGCGATGTGGGAGTTTTGGGGGTGTACGTTACGCCACCGTCTTCAGCCCCGTTATATACATCTCCAGTTAAATTATTTAATTCATTAAAAATACTTTAAATAGAAATTCATTTGTATATTATCAAATGTAATCGGGTAATATACAAAAATTGCCTCTCGAGAAATATTTATGTGCATGAGATGATGTATATAAATATTTTTAAAAAACAGAAGTGTTTCGCTAAAAAAATTAGTTTAAGTATCCGAAAAAGCTTAAGAAAAACCATGTTTGATGCAATAGCACGTATTTCCAATTTTAATATTTCATTGTTATTAACAAGAGAGAGTGTTAAAAACATCCACAAATATTTATTAAAGATGTAATGATTTTTAACATATCAGGATTTAATTATTAACATTATTAAATATTGAGAATTTGCATTGTAATTGAAGATGTCTAAATGAAGACTAAATGCTTTCGACCTTAATTTTCCCGATTTAAAAAGAAACAACCGTTGTTGAGATTATTAAAAACAAAAATAAAATAAAAATTAAAACCTCTCAATCTCCCTTCAAAATGATAATAAGTTCGCAAATTTGCAAATAATAAAAATATAAATAAACAAATAAAATAAAGTAAATGCTGGAAAACAAAATGCTATGTAAAATTAAATTTACATAAAAAATCTGGTAAATATAAATGTATTCAATCACAGAAACTATAACTCAGGATCATATATAATGTGATGATCCCAACGACACATTTACGAGAAGAGCCTGCCATCAAAATTCGAGATTTGATTTATCTGCAATGCGTTTAAATTTAGTTTTTCTCAAAATTCTGTCGAAAACATTTCCTGGGATTGCTTTCAATTTAGTTCCCGGAAACGACACGTGCCTATAAAATCGATTGAAAAATCAATAGAAAAATCAATACCAGACACGTACTTGTTGCGCCAGACATCTCATGCGCAGGTAACCACTCCTTGAGTAAGCCACTGCATTTGCGCAATGGATGTGCCAGGAGGATTGATACCCACGCAATGGCGCAACTGAGGGGTGTACAAGATAATAGAACCCTCCAGAAAAATATGTTTTTCATGGAGAGAGAGTAATATATCGATTGCTTATTAGGATCTCTACTTGAGACTACGAAAAGGAATATTATTTTTAGAACTTAGCGGATCAATATTGTAAGAAACATCTGTTCTTTTGAGCTCGGAAAACATTCTCTTTTCAGGGGAAGAAAAGGGAGAAAAAATCCATGTTTTCAGATTCACATTGTTTGTTGTTTATTTTTTACTTTATATAGAGTATTTGTGGGAAAAATTGCTAACAAATTTTGTCCGACTTCATATCATTTTATAATTATGGGCCAAAACTAGTAGCTATTCTGCAAAAAAAAAAAAAAAAACCCATTATTAACACAGATTTAAGATCATTAATTGCGTCATTTTATTAATAATCAAGATTTGAACTAAATTCCTTGATTTAATAAAAGTTGATTAACTAAACTTGATTATAATGAATGTACGTAATTCAATTTTGTTAAAATAATGTATTAGTTATTATAAGCTAAAACTGGGTATTCAGAAATTATTTTCTGGATAAACTCCTATACTTGCAAAAAAAAAAAAGCTTTTTAGTACGTTTTTTTGTTTTTGCACTTTTATTCTCTTATATATTACGTTTTCTATCAGGCAAAACTTTTCTTTCTGCTCCTTAAAATTACTAATTTACTAATTAGATTTTTTTCATAATTTATTCAAAAACCTTTGAGAGT